TAGTAGTAGTAGTAGTAGTAGTAGTAGTAGTAGTAGTAGTAGTAGTAGTTAGTAGTTAGTAATTAGTAGTTAGTAGTAGTAGTCGTAGTAGTAGTAGTAGTAGTAGTAGTAGTAGTAGTAGTAGTAGTAGTAGTAGTAGTAGTAGTAGTAGTAGTAGTAGTAGTAGTAGTAGTAGTAGTAGTAGTAGTAGTAGTAGTAGTAGTAGTAGTAGTAGTAGTAGTATTCGTGTTCTGCTTCGTAATCTCAGCGTTCGCAATCCTGCTGCTCTGCTTCGCCCCCCTCGGCGCGCGGCCGAGCGCAGGGCGGAGCGCACGCCGGGCGGCGCGGGCCGAGCTCGGGGGGCGCAGGGAGCGGATAGGAGGCGCGGCACGGGGCGCCCACCAGCGGGCCCGGCCGAGCGGGCTCAAACCAGCCGCAGGCCCCACGGGGCAGGGGGCAGCCGAGAGAGAGTTCCGGACCCCCCATCCGAGCCATGGACAAAAAGCCTGGCGGGAGGTTTTCCCCTCTCTTCGGCCTCTGGTCGGAGGGCACCAACTATACACCAGCACCGATCCTGGCCCAGGATCACCCTGGGCCCAGGATCGGTGTATATGCCTTCTTGCGCAAGGCAGGAGGGCGTATACACCGATCCTGGGCCCAGGGTGATCCTGGCCAGGATCGGTGTTGGTGTATAGTTGGTGCCTTCCTATCTGGGGCCCCTCACCGGGCCCCTGGACCGCTAGAAAACGACTCGGGGTGAGAAGCCGGTCTCGGGGGGGGAATGGGTCCAGACCTCTGGGGGTCGACGTCACGACAAGAAACATGACGTCGGGGGTCTGGGGTTACGATGGGGGCATTGGATGAGGAACCCTTGCATGAGGAATCCAGGGTCTGGGAGCCACTGGAGCTCCAATCGTGGAGCGTACCAAAACATGGTTCTCGGGATTTCAGCGCCACGTATCAACCTGCCTGCTGCGTATTGACGATCCGGAATCTACCAGAACGCCATTTCTGGGACTTCAACACCGCGAATCATCATAACTGTTGCGCCCGCATAGTGATGAATCCTTCCCAAATACCATTTCTGGCACGTTGATCATGGGAATACGTGAAAGCTTTGCATTTTTTTCCGGAAAGGGCGTGGATCGGCCCTGGATCTCACCGCCGCCCTTGTCAGAGAAGATATCCTCCAGGGTCTGCAGCCTCACGGGCACATCCCTTGACGAGCGCCCCCACCGCAGGAGGCAACTCCCCGGCAGCTCGTCGTCAGAACGGTCCAATGCTAGTACACGTCGGTCGGAAGAAGTAGGTAAAAACATGAAGTAGGAAGGCGGATAAAGTGGATTGGGTCCAGGCCCTCCCAGAGAATAACAAAACACAGCAAAAGCATGTCGGTTCTTGAAGTAGGAAGGCGCTTGAAGTAGATTGGGATCTGGGAATCCAGAAATACCTACTTTCAACGACCGGCGTGTACGCATGATTGGAATACGACGAAGCCAGGACGAGGATAACATCGGGTGAGGATATATCGAGGATCTCTTAGATCTGGCGGCTCTGGAAGACGTCTCGGGCGCGAGCGTTCCGGAACGCTCTCAAAGCGTTCTGGACCGCTCTGAAACGGATGCATCCTCGTTCTAGCCCCGTCCGAAACAGGGTAGGGGCGGCTGAGACAGTTAGGAGGCAACTCCATGGGAGGTCTTCGCCAAAAAGATTCAAGGCTGCTACGCCCGGAATAAGGGCCATCGAAACAGTCCAGGGCGGATTGAGCCCGCGATGAAGGCCGGATTGAGCGGGCCCTAGCTGGATTCAGCGGGATTCAGCGGGATTGAACCAGATTCGGCCAGTTTTCGACCAGGGATAGCGCCGATTCATTTTGAAAGAGGGCGGACAAGACAACGAGCCGGCTGGGCGACCCGGCCGCAAACAACCCTGCCCCTGTCGCTCGACACCGGCAGGCCGTGCCAGGTGAAGGCCAGGCGCGAAAACCGCCCAGACGGCCGAGGGAGCACAGGCGAGGAAAGAAGAGAGCCGCACGCACACACACACACACACACACACACTCACACACACACGCACGCACGCACGCACGCACGCACGCACGCACACACACACACACACACACGCGTACACACACCCACACACGTACACACACGCACACACACGCACACGCACACGTACACGTACACGTACACGCACGCACGCACACACACACACACACGCACGCGTACACATACACGTACACGCGCACGTACACACGCACACACGCACACACACACACACACACACACACACGCACGCACGCACGCACGCACGCACTCACGGACGCACGCACGCACGCACGCACGCACACTCTCTCATACACACACACACATACACCCGAACAGACACACACACACACACACACACACACGCACGCACGCACGCACGCACGCACGCACACACACACACACGTACACACACGCACACACGTACACACACGCACACGTACACGTACACTCACACACACGCGTACACATACACGTACACGCGCACGTATACACACACACGCGTACATACACACACGTACACACACGTACAGACACACACACACACACATACGCACACACTGCTTGCACTAATGGAGAATGAGGACAACGGAAGGACAATGTGGAGAAGGGAGGCGAAAAACATAACTGAACGATTCTGGGGGGCCGAATGCGATGGCCAACTCATCGCTTTATAAGGTTGGCCTCTGAATGGCCTTCGAGAGGCAGCTTCGCTCCGTATCCAGACCTCTGCAGGCAAATGCGGATAACGAAGAGGACGATGGGGCCGAAGAGGAGGACGAAAGCACCCCCCACCTCTCCCCCCGCTCTGTCCCCCCACTAGCTCCTCCTGCTCCTGCAGCATCTCCTCGAGCTGCTGGAGCGTCTCGGCAGGCTGCCCAGCCGCGACGTCGCCGCGATCCGCTGGCGCGGATTCTGGTTTCTCGCTGGATTCGCTGCATCTGCGGAGTAGAAGCATACGAGGAGACAACTTGCCACGAGAAGTCCTGGGGCGCATTCTTCGTCGAGCTCTGAGGGTCTTAGGGTGCCCCAGAGCTCCTGCTATAGGGGAACAAAAAGTGGCATAAACATAAAAACTCGGAGGTCCGCGCGGATTTCTCGGATCGGCGCTGGACCCCCCTCCCTGGCGCGCGGAGCGCGCCAGGGGCGGCGCCGGAGGCGGCGCCGGGGTGCCCCAGCGCCGATCCGAGAAATCCGCGCGGAACTCAGAGTTTTTATGTTTATGACACCTTTTGTTCCCCTATGCTAGTCCCAGGGGCCATCGGGGGACAGGAAACTTCCATGGGGCATTTGCTGGCCGAACCGTGCTGCGCGGGGGGAGGGGGCTGGAGCGGATCGGCGCCCGAGGCGGGCATCCGCGAGGCGTTCCTGGGCCGCTTCGCGCGGTCAGCAGGCAGACAGCGGCAGGCACCTGCAGCTTTGGGCGCCCGCGCAGAGCTCCAATCTTGTTGGCAGTTCACGTCTGCGTGGCACTCTGCTCGGCGAGGCAGAGCGCGCAAGGCCGTGGTCTCCAGGCAATAGCAACCAGTGCGCATGAGTGCACCATTGTGCGGAAGACGCGGGGGAAGGCAGGAGGACGGGGAGGGAAGTGCTGCCTCTTGCCTCGTTCCGCATTTCCGACAGGCCTGCGAGGATCGACGCCTCTTGGCCCGAAGATCGAAAACCGCGTTTTGGGGGGCAGGGGAGGGATATGATGTGGGCCGCGGTTGGGGAACCGAGTTTATGCTATGTCTTCGGTCTTTCTGGGCATCGGGGAGCCTCTGGAGACCCTCCTCCCCCCCTGCCGTTCCTCCTCCTCCTCGTCTTCCTCCTCCTCTTCCGCTGAATCCGCGGCCCCCGCACCAGGCCCATTTTAGGTCTGGTGCCCACCAAAACCAGGCCGTATCGGCCGACCGTCCACAAAACACCCATCCAGGAGGTTTCTTGTCGACGCCCAGGTGGACGGCCAAAGACCACCGGGGTGCCCACGACAGAGCACCACCCCGAAAACAGCGGCAGGGGGAGAGGGGGAGGGGGAGGAGGAGGAGGAGGAGGAGGAGGAGGAGGAGGAGGAGGAGGAGGAGGAGGAGGAGGAGGAGGAGGAGGAGGAGGAGGAGGAGGAGAGCCGGAGGGCGGAGGAGACGGGCGGGCGGCGGAGGGGCGTGAGCCACCCGACCCTTCCCTTCGGCGCGCGCGCGCGCGCCCGCCGGAGGAAAGGAGCGGGGGAGGAGAGGGGGATTACACCCTGCGAAATGCTTAAGAAAGCATGGGTTAAGAAATTCATAGTCTCAGAACTGGAATAAAAACCCAACATTCCCATTCAAATCTTAGGACTTAGATTGAAAAGTTAAGAATAATCGAGACTCTGGGCGAAAACTGAGGTTTCCTTAAGCATCGCCTAAGGTGTAGAGGGAGAGGAGGGGGAACCGGCCAAAACGAAGCGACTGAGCGTCGGCCAAACTCAAAATGAAGCACTGCGGTGGGAGGGGAGGAGGAAAAAGGGAAGGAAGGTGGACTCGTACCTGCCTGCGCGTGGGCAGGCCCCGCCCGCTGTCGCGGCCCCCCCGTCACGCTGCGGGCTCCAGGGTGCCGGCAGGGGCGTCGGCCATCGGCCTGCGGGCCCCCCGCCTCCTTTGCCAAAGGAGTCTGCGGGGGCAGGGCAGGCCAGGTCACCCGTGCCTGCCCGCTCCGCCGTGCCCCGCTCGGTGTCGGGGGGGGACCTGGGTCACTGGTGCTGGGTGAGCCAGGAGGCATGGGGGCCGCCCGCCTGTGGCGGGACGGTGCTGCTCAGCGGGCAGCCGAGGCTGGTGCATCAGCCTTCCTCTCTCCTCTCTGTTCTCTCCTCCTCCGGCTCTCGGGCCCCGTCGGCGGCTGCCAAGCCCATGGGGGGACGCGGGAGGGGGGGGGAGGATTGCTGCACCCCTCCTCCGAATGCATCGGCGTGACGAGACTTGTTGCGCCCCAGGTTGAGTCGCGGAGAAGGAGGAGAGGAAGGTTGTTGTTGATGATGATGATGATGAGGAGGAGGAGGAGGAAGAGGAGGAGGAGGAGGAGGAGGAAAAGGACGAGGACGAGCTGACGCCGAGGGCGGATCGACCCCGTGGCCTGCGCAAGACAAAAAGGAGGGGAAGGAGGAGGAAGAGGAGGAGGAGCAGGAGGAGGAGAAGGAGGACGAGCTGACGCCGTGGGCGGATCGACCCCGTGGCCTGCGCAAGAAGAAAGGAGGAGGAGGGGGAGGAAGAGGAGGAGGAGGAGAGGAGGAGAGGAGGATGAGGAGGAGGACGAGGAGGAGGAGGAGGGCGAGCTGACGCCGTGGGCGGATCGACCCCGTGGCCTGCGCAAGAAGAAAGGAGGAGGAGGGGGAGGAAGAGGAGGAGGAGGAGGAGGAGGAGGAGGAGGAGGAAGAGCAGAAGGACAAGCTGGCGCCGTGGGCGGATCGACCCCGTGGCCTGCGCAAGAAATAAAGGAGGGGGAGGAGGAAGAGAGGAGAGGGAGGAGGAGGAGGAGGAGGAGGAGGAGGAGGAGGAGGAGGAGGAGGAGGAGGGGGAGGAGGGAGGATGGAGGAGGAAGAAGAGGAGGACGAGCTGACGCCCTGGGCGGATCGACCCTGTGGCCTGCTCAAGAAGAAAAGAGGAGCGGGAGGAGGAGGAGGAGGAGGAGGAGGAGGAGGAGGAGGAGGAGGAAGAGGGGTCCGTAGCCATTTTGGCTCAAGTCCGTAGCCAGTTGGCTCAGACCTGAGGTTTTTTTTTTACGCAGGGGATCAGCGGCCCCTACCAGCTTCGGAGGCCACACCTCCTTCCTTCTCTCATTGTTGTGCTGCGGGTTTCCCGCTCGCCGTTCCATGTATGGATTTCAGACGTGGCGCTGCGGCCGCAAGAAGTGCGGGTACCGCTTCAACTACCTCAGCCGCACGCACTGCCGTGCTTGCGGGAAGGAAGCACCGCAAGACGTACCCATGCCACAAGGAGGTCGTGCTGCCAAAGGTGTCTGGGCCAATGGGCCCCCCAAGAACAACAAGGGGCCCTCCGTCCTTGCCGACGCCCAGCTCGACGTCTACGCTCGTATGGATCCCGCAAAGTTTGCCCTGGTGTCCGACGGCTGGGCGCCCAAGCTCATCCAGCGTGTAGCCGCCCAGCGTGCAGTTCTCGAGGGAGAGCCGCACGCCGCCGCCAAGTCAGCCAGGATTGAGCAGGATCACTTGCAGAATGTGGTCCAAGGCGAGCAGAAGGCGCACAAAGCCATCGCACATGCGGCCAATCTCAAAGGCGAGCTACAGGAGCTACAACAGAAGTGCAAGGAGGCAACGGATAAAGCTGCCAAGGCTTACACCCAGATGGCGACCTCAGGTGACCCGATCGCGCAGCTCAACGGGCTCGCCAACTGCGTCGCTGCCGACCCGCGCCTCGCGGCCTTCGGCGAGTAGCTGCAGGCACTGGTCCCTGCCCTTCAGGCGCTGCTTCAGCCTGCTCATGCTCAGCCTGCTGACGCTGACATGGCTCCTCCCGCTGGGGAGCCACAGCACCAGCAGCCACCGCAGCTGGACCCAGCCGCTGCGGCCGCTGCCGAGGACGCCGGCGCGCAGGCTGCCCAGGCAGCTGAGGCCCAGCGCCTGGCCGAGCGGCGGGCAGCCGACGCCGCTGCCACTCAGGCCCGAGCTGACGCAGCCTTCCAAGAGTTGTTGGCGCACATCAACGCACAGAGGGCTGACTCCGCTGAGGACGATGCCCCCGCGTCCGCTGCGGACAAGCTGGCGGAAGCTCACGGCGTCAAGCGCGAGCTGCTCTCCTCCGTCTTCGACTCCATCTTGGATGCAGCCGAGAAGCAGCGCGCGACCAGCTCCAGCGGTTGAGGCCAGGCAAGTTCCTGATGGCGGCTCAAACTGGTTGTTTGTTACTTCAAATGTTAGTGGGCTTGCTGGGCTAGAGGCCATACTGGGCCACGACCGAGTTCGGCAAGCACATGCGGTTGCAGTTCAGGAGCATCACGTTTCAGATTCTTCTATGTGCTCCAGTTGGGAGCAGAGGTTGCGCCGGGTTGGATGGCGAGCCGTCATGACACAGGCCACCGTCACTCGGGCTGGTGGTACGTCGGGCGGTTTGGTGCAACTCGTTCCTTTCGCAGTCGGCCTCGCCAAGCTCGAGTGTGTGCCCAGCATACTGGCCTGCGGTCGTGCCCGCGCGCTCCACTGCTCAGGGCTGGTTCCAGGAGGTTTTCATTACATCGCAGCTTACTTGCACCACAGTGAAGGGCTGTCGCCGCGCAATTGGGCTATCCTAGACAGCATTGGACAAGTGATTAAACAGTCTGGCCGACCGTTCGTTCTTGGAGGCGAGTTTCAAGTGCCCCCATCTGATCTTCAAGGTAGCGGATGGGTGGATGCAGTCGATGCCGTGGCCCTCAGCCCTTCGTGCCCCGCGTGTACGAACTCGGCCGCGTCAGGCGCTCAGACCATCGACTTCTTTGTGGCGTCCTCGGTCTTCTCCTACGCGGCGAATCTTGAGGTCCTGCACGACGTTGGCACCACGCCGCGCTACCTTGTTATGCTCACAGCGCGGCCATTGGCGGCCACTTGCTTGCAGCATCAGATTGTTCGCGTACCCTCCCGCTTTCCTGTTGACGGACCTTTTGGGTGCAGGCGCTTCGACCCCTCCGTGCGATGGCAGGAAGTCAGCGAAGTCATGCAGCACGCCGGCCTCGACGACATGTGGGTCAAGTGGGTTGCCGCTGCCGAGCTCGACATGGGCGATCTGTGCAACCTCGACCCCGTCGCTGGCCCGCAGTGCTTCGGGCGAGCTGAGCCGACTGCCATCTCTGTCTGCGCGCCGCCTGTGCCACAGGCGTTGCCCTTCCCACGCCTCAGCCCAGCAGGGGTGAACCCTGCGAAATGCTTAAGAAATCATGGGTTAAGAAATTCATAGCCTCAGATCTTGAATAAAAGCCCAACATTTCTATTAAAAACTTGGGATTTACATTGAAACGTTAAGAATAATCGAGACTCCGTACGAAAACTCAAGTTTTCTTAAGCTTCGCCTAAGGTGTGTGGTGGCGCCTAGTCGCCCGTTGCTTTGAAGGGCTTGCCAAGTGGCAGCCACCGCCGCTGAGGCTGGGCACTCTTCGCCTTGCTCAGCAGCTGCCCGCTCGTGCTGGAGCCGCCGGCGTCAGTGAGATCCGAGTCAGGCCCTGGACCTCGCTGCTGTTGCTTGCCCGTGCGTTGCCTTACGAGCTAGCTGCCGTCGCCGCCACCATCACCAAAGAGATCGCGGTGCGAGCGCACCGCAATGCCGAGCAGGGCAAGCTTGCGGGTTGGAAAGACTGGGTGCGCAGGAACTCAGTCGATGGTGCAGCAGTGCCGCATGCCTACTCGAAGCCACCTGTGCCCTGGCGTGCCAACAATTTGTGCGGCAGTGCGCCTGCCACGCTTCAGGAGGAGGTGGAATTGTTGACCCGGGAGTGGTCGGACTGGTGGGGGGTCGGAGCGCACCATGACATCACCCAGTGGCCTGACGATGTCGGCCCGCTTTTTTCCGCGACCCAGCCTTGAACATGTTAAGTCTGTTGTGAAGAGTTTCCCGCGCAGGTCTGGCTGTGGTTTTGACTAGCTGTGGCCACGCCAGTTGCTTGCTCTGTCCGACTACGCGTTAGAGTCTCTCATTGACGTCATCATGGGAATCGAATCCACATGTCGGTGGCCTGTCCTGTGGAACAAGGTTGTGTTCCTGGACAAGCGCGATGAAGGCGTTCGCCCCATCGCGCTTATGCACGTGCTCGGCCGCCTGCAAGGCAGACTGCGCAAGCCGTTAGTTGCTAAGTGGCAAGCTGATCACCCTAGGCAGTTCTGGTGGTCCACGGCTGGGCGCAGCTCTGACAAACTGGTCTGGATTCAGTCGGCGTCCGCCGAATGGGCCAGGAGCAAGGGTCTGACCAGTGCACTTGTGCTCCTCGACCTTCAGAAGGCTTTCGAGCGAGTTGAGCGCTCTCTGCTTGTCTCGGCCGCCATGAGGTCAGGTTTTCCGATCCGCCAGTTAAAGCTACTCGTCGAGCTCTATCGGTGCCCTAGGATTTTGCCTCTGCAGAATGCCGTGTCCAGTCCCGTGCCCACGTTGCAGGCTGCTTTGCCGGGGTGCCAATTTGCCACCCTCATGCTGCAGATCATGTTGCTGCTGCTCTTGGACACGGTTCAAGAAGCCTTTGCGAACGTTTGCATTGGTTCGGTTGTCGACGAGTTTGGGCTCCAGCGGCTTGGGCGAGAAGCCGACGTCGCGGCGGAGCTTGCAGGCGCTACTTCGCTCCTGCACAGCGAGCTCGCCGCTATCAAAATGCCTGTCGCTGTCAAAAAGGGTCGCATCGTGGCCTCCGCGCCGTCCCTCCGTGCTTGCCTAGAGAAAAAGCTCAAGCGTCATCGCGTGCAGACTGTCATAGTTGAGCGAAATTTGGGCATCGATTTCGGCGCGGGCAAGGTGAGACCGCGCGCTACAAGGCGTGCGCGCAAGCAGCCTGCCATGCGCCGTGGTCACAAGTTGTTGTCGATTCGAGGCCTTGTCAAACGCCGTCTTCTTCACAATATGTTGCAGTCCGCCGTGCTCTCGTCAACTCGGTACGGAGGCAGTGTGCTTGGCACGGATGGAGGTGACCTCCGCACCGCGCGTACGCTGCAGGCGCACGTACAGAGTCAGCGTTTGCCTGGTCGGTCCATCACGCTCATGCTTATGCTCGCGCACAAGCCTTCTGTGGACCCCTTCTACTCCCTCAACCTCGACCCTCTCATGGCGAACGCCCGCGCAGTATGGGACAATTGGTTTCCCCGAAGAATGCTGGAGCAAGGGGTCGTTGCTGAGGTTGAGCGTTTGGAGGGTCATGTCAGCCCCTGGTCCAGCATTAGGGGCCCCTTCTCGGCTTGCGCCGCAACCGCCCAGAGAATTGGCCTTGTGATTTCTGGCGTTTCGCGGCGGGTCCCTGGGCTTGGAGCTCTCGGCCTCTCCTCTGCGTGCCCTCGGGCCTTGCGTCCCTGGCTCGTTCGTGCCGTGGAAGCCACTCTCTGGAGCAAGGTTGTTGAGCGCGAAGGGGTTGCCGAGCTTGCCAATGGCTGCCTGTTAGAGCCCATCCGTCAGGTTCTGTCTTCCAGATGCCGAACGGCCCAGGAAAAGGGTTAGATTGTTTCGCTCGCTAGTGGGGGCCAATGGCCTCAGCATCGCCAGTGGGTTTCGAAGTTGCCCCCCACTGGAGAATGCAAGTTTTGTGTCGACGGTCCTGGCACTTTGCTGCATCGGCATGCCTGCTGCCCAGGGATTGAAGAGCTAGTGCCACAACTCTCTCCACCCGAATACATCACCAGACTGGCGAGGGCTTCCTTGGATCCTCTCCCGCTCTTGTTCGCGGAGAGGCTGCTGGTGCCTGCTGCTCCTCCCCCGTGCTCGGACCTTCAGCCAGACAGGTGGATCGGAGGAGGCGCGCCTGACTTACGTGAACACGTGTTCCTCGATGGCAGTGCTTACGATGCTGATGTGCCCTCGCATGCGCGAGCCTGTGCGTGGGCCTGTGTGTCCGCCAGTCTCGGCGATCCTCATCGATCGCGCACGGTTTTTGTTGGTCTCCTTGAAGGCCCCTATCGAGATATTGACTGTGCCGAACTGTATGCGTTGCTCCGAGGGCTCCAGCATGCTATGCCTGGCGCGGTTTTCTTCAGTGATTCCAGTTTCGTTGTGCGTGGCCTCTATGAGCGTGGTGAGCCTGCGTGCTGCGCCGCCTCCAGCGCCTGGGCCGACGGTTGGAGACAAGTTTGGGCGCGCGTGCACAACTGGGGTGGGTTGGAGCACGTGCGCGTCGTCAAGGTGCCCGCGCACGCCACACACGAGCATGTGCAGCATGGCCGCCTATCGTTTTCCCAGCCTTTCGGCAACCACTCGGCCGACTCTTGGGCCAAGGGCACTGCGCGTGCCGCCAGGATCCCGAAAGAGGTTCGGGACTCCAGGAACGCAAAATCCATGGTGCTTCGGTCCTGGGCCGACTGGGTTGCTCAGGTTGGGCCTGTCTTGGCCGATGCCGATTGTTTGCACGTGAAGGCGACGGCGATCAAGGACCGCCGCACCGCCCTGCATGTGCTGCCGCCGCCGCCCACCGCCACCCCGCCCATTCTCTCTCAAGCTGACTCTGTCGTCGTTCGGGGTGAGATCGCGGGTGAGTGTGTCCACGTGATCCACCCTTTTCAGCTCTGTGGAGGAAAATGGATGGTGGTTTGTGCGCGCTGTGGCCTTGGAGGGGCCAAAGTCTCTGCCAGGCTCCAGGGAGCCTGCCTGGGCTCTCCCGCGCCAGGCACCCATGGAGCCAAGGTGCTCGCCAACCTGGCGCGCAGCCCTGCTCGTGATTCCCTGCACAAAGAGTGGCACCTGCTTGCCCAGCCGTTCCGCACGGCCGACTTCCATCGTGCAGGTGAGTGCTGATGTCTGGCCCCGTCCTGGCTCGCCCGCCTCGTTGATGCTGGCGTGACCAGCTTGGGGCCGCCCGCCAAGCGGTCTCCGACCGTGGGCCCTCCCCCCGTCGGGGCCCCACGGCACCGCTCATCGCTGTTCCGTTCGACTGCTCGGCGCGTTGGCCGAGTCGGAGGCGCCACCCACGCCCGCCCCCTTTTGGCGGGCATGGTGGCGTAAGTGGCATGTGGCGCGTCGGCATCACGACTCGCTTCGGAGAGGTCGCAGGAGGAGGAAGAGGAGGAGCAGGAGGAGGAGGAGGAGGAGGAGAAGGAGAAGGAGGTGGTGGAGGAGGAGGAATAGGAGGAGGAGGACGAGCTGACGCCGTGGGCGGATCGACCCCGTGGCCTGCGCAAGAAAAAAAAGGAGGAGCAGTTTGAGGACGAGCAGACGCCATGGACGGATCGACCCCGTGGCCTGCGCAAGAGAAAGAGGAGGAGGAAGAGGAGGAGGAGGAGGAGGAGAAGAAGGACGACGACGACGAGCTGACGCCGTGGGCGAATTGACCCCGTGGCCTTTTGTAAGAAAAGGGGAAGAAGAGGAGGATGAGGAAGAAGAAGAGCAATGAGGACGACGAAGAGGAGCAACGAGGAGGAATGAGGAGGAGCCTCCCCCCCCTCTCACGCGCAGCCAGGCGGCCAGAGGGAGGGCATGGCGGGGCACCCGGCCTGGCACCCACGCGTGCGAGCGCAGCCGCGCCGCGGCCGCGGCCTGGCGGGCGCCGCTTCCCGCCGACCGCCACTGGCACAACGGGAAGCGCTGCTGCGTGAGCCCCCTGCTGGTGATGCTGCAGGTTGCCGTCGTTCGCGGCTGCTTGATGCTGTTCGGCGCTACCCGTGACTGCCCGGTGCTGCGCGCTTTTGCTTGCTGCCGCGTGCTGTTGAATACCGGTTTCGTTCTGACGTTTCTTGTTCTCTTCCGCCTCCCCCTCCTCTTCCGCCTCCCGCTCCTCCTCCTCCTCCTCCTCCTCCTCCTCCTCCTGCTCCTCCTCTTCTTCGCTCCTCATCAATCATCCTCACGGCTCCTCCTTACTACTCCTCCTGAGGGCTTCTCCTCGTCCTCCTCCTCCTCCTCCTCCTCGCTTCTCCTTCTCGTCTTCCTCGCTTCTCAACAAAACATCTGGGGGCACTGCGAAGGGCCTGCCGTCGTGTCAGCCACCCTATGGCCGTTTCGAACCGATGGTCGTGTCAACCCGGCTGTCTTTCATCACGCCTGGCCGTTTGAACCCAGCCCTCTGTTGTATCTGCTGGAGACCTCTTTGGCCACCCTTTGAGCCAAAGATGCGTGCTTCAGAGAACAACTTTCCAGCATCAGTTTCGGGAAGATGTCTCAGGCAGCACTGCTGTTCGCGGAATCCCGCCGAAGCGTCCTGGACCATCTCAGAGGCAGTGTATCAGAAGTCAACATTGGCGACCAGGAGGCCAGCTGTGAGACCCAATTCCTTCGAAGTCTATATCGTTTGGGGATTTGCTCAGGCGAGCCGGCTGTTCTGCACCAGATTGGACGCAAACTGAAGCCTTACTTGGGATCTGGCCTCTTTAGCCACCATAGACTCTCACTGGAACCCCAAGAGCAAGCTCTGAGAAGATTTTCCATCGAAGTCTCCATTTCGAGAGGATGTTTCACGCGAACCTGCGATTCGGGGATCATCTTGGAGGCATCATGGGGCCCTATCTTAGGATCTCTTGGGGCCCTCTTCGATCCCTAGTGAGTCACATTAGGACACGCTCTTCCGAAGTCTCGACTCTGAGAGGGCGAGAGGACAAACTGGTACTACGCGTGTCTACGTTCAAACTACGTGCCAATCCCACTGTAATAACTGCGTCGAAGCGTCCTCGGGCATCGCTGAAACATCCTGTGCCATTTGGGGGGGTATGTCCGACGCGAGACGAATGAGGACGCATTCTCACAATTTCCCGCGACTGGATGTCGACGAGCCGAAACACGACAATTTTCGGAATCTGGTCGAAGCTCCCCAGAAGCTCGATTTGGCTCTATTGGGAGTTGTTTCGGCCCATTGTGCCTCTGTTCAAGCCTTCCGGGGCTCTACTTGGGCTCTCTTACAGGCCCTCGAAGAACCCTCGTGCACCATCTGAAGCCCATCCTGGAGGCCCAAAGGCCAGCTTTGAACAGCACCTGATTCGAAATCTATTTTGGGCGCTTGAGTCTGTCGCGTGAGGACCCTATTTGGAAGAGCCTCGTCTCTTGAACGACCCTATTCGGAGTCTTCCTGAGGCTGTACCCGGGCTCTCTTGGGGCCCTCTTGGGACCACCTCGAGCTCTGTTGAGCCTTCTATTGGAAGCCAAGGGGCCGGACTTCAAAAACAACTTCTTCGATGCTTGGACATTGAACGGGTATCGCAGGCGAAACAGTCGCCTAAAAACATGATTGGAGCCCTGCTGGGGCTCTACTTCGGCTTCCTTAGGGCGTTCTCGAGCTATCAGGTAACGTTTCTTGGAGACCAGGAGGAAAATTTTGAGAGGCCAGTCCTTCGAAACCTCCATCTCGGAAATATTATCACGCGAAACTGCCGCTTTGAACTGTCTTGGCGGCATAAGAGGGGGCCTTAGACCACTCTTGGAGCCCGTGGGGCAAACTTACTAAAAACGCCTCCGTTGAAGTCTCACGCAACAACCGTCATCCGAATCCTATTTCGGACACAACGGGAAGCGCTGCTGCTTGAGCCCCTAGTTGCTGACGCTGACGATTGCCATCGTTTGCGTCTGCTTTCTACTGTTCGGCGTTGCTTGTTGCTGCTTGGGGTTGCGCGCGTTTGCTTGCTCCTCGTTCTCACTTTCCCCATCATTTTCCTAATTCCCCTCATCCTCCTCTTCGCCCCGCATTCTCATTGCTCATCCTCGCCCCTCGTCCTCCTCCGCGCTCCTCGTCCGTGTTTCTCTTCCTCTTTTTCCTTGTCGCTTCTCCTCGTCCTCCTCGTCCTCCTCCTCTTTTTTGCTCCTCCTGCTCCTCCTCCTCGTCTCTTCGAAGACAATTTGGGGCAACATATGCAACCCGCCTGGCCGTATTAAACCGATGGTAGTGTCAGTCCGCCTGGGTGTTCAAACCCGCCTCGCAATTTTAATCCGCCTGGCCGTTTTGACCTGGCTCTATGTCGTTTCTCTCCAGGGGCCCTCTTGGGCAACCGTAGACACCTTGTGAGGCCAGATCTGCGTGCTTAGACTCCTGCTTAGACGATCAACTCTTTCGGCAGATCCGTTTTGGGACAATGTCTCACGCAACACAGCCGTTCTGTGAGTGAAGTTGAGGCGTTCTGGACCATCGTGGAGGCATCCCGGGCTCCATGTTGGCTATATTGAGGCGCTCCTGGGGCCGTCGTGAGCCATATGTTAAGCCCTTCTGGAGGCCACGCAAGTCCTTGGATGTTTCCACCTTGGGAGGATGTCTCACGCGACGCGCCGTTTTGGACCATTTCGGGGGCATCCTGGGGCCCCGTCTGCGCTCTCATCTCATGGGCCACCGTGGGATCTCTAGCCATTATTAAATACCCTCCCTCGAGCCTGCGAGGCAAGCTTCAATGTTAGAGGATGTCTCACGCGACGCTGCCAGTTTGATATCAGTTCGGAAGCCTCTTGGAGCCCTGGTTGGGCTCACTGGGGGCCCTCTCGGAGCCCCCATGAGCCAGCATATGCCCTTCTGGAGACCAAAACGAAAGCTGACGAAAACGCCTCCTTCGAAGTCTCGATTATGAGAGGATGTCTCTGGCAAAAAAGCCGTTCGAGGACTACACCGACAAGGAGGGCTGTTCGGCGATGGCGCGCGTTTCTCCCCATTCAACTCCCCATCTCTGTCTTAATACTAACGAAAATCGCGTCGCGCTTCCCATCGCACGATCACAGGTTTGTCCGTTCGATTACCGGGAGCGCTTCTCTCCTTCAAGCTGCCACGCTGTGTTTCGCGCACAACTCAGGATCGCTTTGCGCTTCCCGCTTCCCGTCGTGCGCCCAAAGGGTGCTGGCTCGGCAGGAAGCGCTCACACTCCAGATCACCATCCGTACTTGAAGTCCAAGCGAGAGTCGCTGCGCGCTTCCTGTCATACACCCACACACGCACCGGAAGCTCGATCCTCGAACATCGGCTCTGGAGGATCGGGGAGGACGGGCAGGAGGAGGAGGAGGAGCAGGGATGAGGGAGGAACGGGCACGACGATTCCCCAAACACCGTTTGCACTTAGGGGGTCCTTGCTCACCCTTCAGCTGTTTGGGTAGGCGTGCCGCGATTTCGCCACGCTCCCGCCCGTCGCCGCCCATGGGCGCCTCGTGGCCATGCCAGGGCTTCACCACGGTGTCGCCCGTGGCCGCTCGTGGGCGCCTCGGGGGCCCCCGCGGCTTCGCCGCGCCCCCACACGTGGCCGCCCGTGGGCACCTCGAGGGTGTGCCATGGTTTTCCCACGCTCCCGCGCGAAGGCGCCGGTGGGCGCCCCGTGAGCTGCGCGCTCCCGCCTGTGGCCACACGTGGGCACCGCGAGGGTGTGCCGAAGTTGTGGCACGCTGCCGCCCGTGGCCGCCCGTCGGCGCCCGGCGTGCCGGAGGGGTGAGCCGAGGTTCGCCACTCTGCCGCCAGCGGGCGCCTCGAGGGCCCCTCGGAGGTGTGCCGAGGCTTCGCCACGCTGGCGCCCGACAAGCCGCCCGTGGGCGTTTCGTTGCACCACGTGCACTGCACCACATAGCCTGCACCACATAGCCCAACATTCGTTGCACCACATACACTGTGCTTGTTGTTGAAGATGATGTTAGCCAGCGTTGGCCCCATCCCGTGTGTCTCTAGCATCTAATGGTGTGCAAAATTACGTGGCGCAATCGATGTGAACTCCACTGCTCGTGCAATGATCTCACCCACCCACCCTCAACTTGGCTTGCAAAACCCGTGCGGCGGCGATTGCCATGACTGCTTGGCGCTGGTTGGCGCATCCTTGCGGCCTCCCTAATGCGCGAAAGCTCGCGCGCGCAGCGGCCAGCTAGTCTGGCGCGATTGACGTGGCCACGGTGGCTCTGACCGCTGGGCACTCCCCAGCGCGTCTCGCAGGCCGCGGCGGGCAGTTCAGTGCGAGTCGGTGGCTCGGGCGGGTGCGGTATCATGGTGACGCCGACAACGGCTGACACGATGATGCTTGTAGCGATGCTGGTGACGACGATGACGACGATGATGGCAAGGCCAATGACGGCGCCGATGCTGATCACGCCGATGGTGATGATGGCGTCAACGTGTCTGTGATGAAGGTTTTGGAAGGATTTCGACATGCGGGCGCGGCTGACGGGCGCGAGCATGGGTTCATTTACCAAGGAGAGTGCCGTCCCAGCGCGCGCGCAGTGCCGTTCAAACGACTTCGATATATTCGCGCGCGAGAAGCCCTTTTGGTTGTAACTGGAACAAGCGCGTTGCAACTAACATGTTTCCTTAACACTTCGCAAGAGCGCGCGCGCAAACCTCTTGGTTGGAACATACATGTTGCGAGACCATAGGTTTTGCATATGTTTTCGGGGCACTTCATTATGAACTCCGCCGACCTGTCGGCGTGTGCGAGGGGCTTGTCGGTTCGAGTCGTCGTCTCCGTCAGTCGTCGTCTCCGTCGTCCCCTTTCCCTGCACCCTCGTCCTCCAGCCTGTCAGCGAGAGAAAAACCTAGCAATGTCGTAATCGAATCGAAAGGAACCCCCTTCCCTTTGATCCCTTCCCCGACGGGGGGGGGGCCCGGG